CTGGGCAACGATCTCTTCCAGAAAGGTGCAGAAACATCTGATGGCCAATAGGCTTTTTCCCCATCCCTTATAGCACTGAGGAAGTCTGATTTCTTATTACACTTAGTGTAGTAACTCTCAAGGTCATCTAAATTATGGGATTATGACTGGAGGGTGTGAAAGAAACAAGTACAGTATATTGATGTTGCTAACATCTCTGAGAGATGAATATGTGTGTCTCGCTATTGAAAAGGACATAGTCCAGTATAAATGTTTGTTTGTAATGGTAAGTATTTTATTATGACAAACATTCATGTAATGAGAGAAATCAGATAAATAATGCCTTGATAGTGGATCAAGTCACATTGAATTGCATTGATGTATTGTCATACAGTGTGACAATAGCCTACCTTTAGATGCTATGATGATTGTTGATGTTCTTTTTGTCAATTTTGTTTATATTTATTATAATAGTGTCAGAAACCATGTTGTCAGTTTTCACTAATTTCTAATGTCATTAGACTTGACATTCCATACATGTTTTTATCGACATTCCATGCATGTTAATGTATGGGAGTTTTCCGTGCCTCTCCTGAAACACACGGGTGTGTAGGAAAGACAGCTGCACGGCCCCTGTATAACTGTGTTTTGCCTCCTCCCAACTGAATAACTTAATATATTTGTAAATTTGGTACCAGCAGGCTGCTTCAACAGGCAGAAGGACAGATAGACATTGTACCAAAATAAAAGAAACCACAGGGAAAATACAGGCACATAACCTTAGTGACTCACATTTGCATGAAATTGACAGCCATTTACCATTACTGCACAGTTGAAACTGCAGCAGCATATAACAATAAACATGGTCTTGTCAATGCTGGTCTTTGTGATTTTATGGCTGTTGTTTAACATCTATTGCCAGTTTTTTTACAGTCATATTTAGTACCTTTCATACCTTTATAGACAGTGAATCCCTCCCTGCAAATGTTCTTTCAGTTTCAGTGAAAGTACCACATACTGAGTCATTTTTCTGGTAAACCTTGTTAGCCTAGACAGGCTACACCTCACTGTGTACAGGGTGTGTGCAGCAAAGCCCCTTTCACATACTTCAGACAAGTCTACAACAGAAAGTTTCTTAACCATAACAGCCTTTAAACAGTAGTAATGATAAGGCACCATGTTTATGAACACTTCTATGTAACTTTCAAATTAACTTTCCTCAAACCTGCAACAAGCTATATTGGCATAGCCCCACCAAAAAGTGTATGAGAAAGAGGCATGAGCATAATCTGTGTACTGTAACTGAAGGTTGGTTTCCCTGTTCGTTAGGCGACTTCCCTAATGCCGTCAAGCACTACTCGGAGGCGATCAGGAGAAATCCTGGCGATGCCAAACTGTACAGTAACCGGGCAGCCTGTTACACCAAACTGGCTGCTTGGGAGCTGGGCTTGAAGGTAGAGTGTTCCTCTCTATGGACTTAACTTTGTTGTTGTGTGAGCTGCTGTGAGATCAAGCTTTTTTCCCTTCTCCCTTTGCTGCATGCTAGGTGACTACCCTAATGCCTTGAAGCATTACTCAGAGGCCATCAAGAGAAACCCCCAGGATCCCAAGTTGTTCAGTAACCGAGCGTTCTGCTACACAAAACTGGCGGAGTGGCAGCTTGGTATTAAGGTATTGCCACTTCGACTGTAACATTCCAGACGGAGATGGGCACTGCTTCTTTCACACACCAATTTGTTTTGCTCTGCATTATGTGTTGCCTGTGGTCAGCACATAACTGCCTCTATAAGATAGACTGATGTAGGTAGTTTTGCTTTAATTCTCAGCACATGTCACTGACTAATATTGATGCAATTTAAGTAACTCAATTTTTTCTTAGGACTGCGATGAGTGTGTACGGCTGGATCCAAAATTCCGTAAGTAAAAAGGCCTTTTCACTTTACTTTCAGCCATTTGTTGTGTTGATGTGTGATGTAATTTTCATGGGGTCGCTAGAGTAGAGTTTTCATGTAGTTTTTTAACATTATTGTGTCTGTGATTTACTTGTGACAAGACCAGTTTTGTTACATTTCCCTATATATTTTCTAGTGACATTGATTCTGTGATCTGCTTCTCCATCATTCTCTGAATTTGTGTGTTTACCAGTAAAGGGATACCTCAGGAAAGGGGCTATCTTACAAGCCATGAAGCAGTGGGGTCGAGCACAGGACGTCTACTCTAAGGCACTAGATATTGACCCAAATAACCCGGTAGGTTTGATTTTCACATTGCTAATTTGGTTAATGAGCTTGTTGCAATTTCAGCCAAGTAACAAAATGTTTTGTAACTTAAAAAGCCGTCTGGTTTCATAAGGAAAACAGAGAAAATTTCTTGACAGAGATCATATTTCTATGGAAGAAGAAGGATTGAAGGTAAGAGGGATTGTGGGGTAGGCGGGAGTCTCACATGAGCGTAAACAGCAAATCAATTTGATAAAGTTCCACTGGTTTCCTAAAAAAATTGCGCCCTATCGTCCAGCTCCCAACACGATTTCTTCTTGCCGGACCCTAATTTCATTCTTGGAAACATGGAGAATCCTCCAGGTATAAGACTGGAAATCTTCCTTTCTCTGCCTACAGGAGGCAAATGAAGGCTACCAGAAATGTCTCAAGACGCTGAGCCAGGATCCAGAGGAGATCAGGAAACGTGCCATGGCAGATCCCGAGATCCAACAGATCTTGAGTGATCCAGCAATGAGAGTGATCCTAGATCAAATGCAGAATGAGCCTGGGGCTCTAAATGAGTAAGTTAACTCTTCATGGGTTCACAAATATATTCAAACTGTAGATAAATAAAGGTTACCCCCTACCCCCATCTCATCTGCCACCATGAAGCTTTCGTGTTCACATCAGCCCACTGCTGATGTGTAGTTGTGTCTTACTGGGACTTTCTCACATTTGGTGTGATTGCTTTGTTAAATGGGAAATTATGTTATTATTTAATTCAAGGATATTTTTGTCCCGGTGTAGGTAGCTTAACTTGCATGTTTGTTTGGTTCTTTGTGAACAGGGATAAAAATATATGCTTATCATATTTGTGCATGGCCAGGAAATATGGGAAGCTAGAGCAATCCCAGTTGCAGGAAACTACAACTGGGATGCTACTATTGCTGATGTATTATTCATGTACTCATCATAAAAATTTATTTCACAGTCATTTGCAAAACCCAGCAATCAGGACCAAGATTCAAAAGCTCCTAGAATCTGGTTTGATCCAGATCCGTTAGCCTTTCTTCAGGCACTGTGGGGAAATATTAAGGACACACCAAGGGGCCTACAGATCCACCTGCCAGTCACAGCCGTCAGCTTGTCACCATGGACAGGGTAAACCACTCTGCGCAGCACATTAGTCCTTACACCAGTGTTGATATGGGGAAACAGGTCTTGGGCAATACCAACCAGAAAGACTGTAGTGAATTTTTCCATAGTAACCAAGAGTAGGTAATGTTACCTGTGCATTGTGGATGTAATTGATATGGAACACAACTTTGTGTTTTATTTGCTGGAAGTGCTTCAATTGTCATCCTAATATCCCCATGTTTCCAGACCTGTTTTGTGCTCGGGGGCTCTTGTAGCCAGTCAACAGTAGAGCCCAGATGTTTACAAAACCCACAGAAAAATAAAACATTTACTTAATTAAGGTAAAGGCAAAAGAATTGACTCATAAAGAAGTTAAATTTCATTGTTATGAATATATTGAAATTGCATTTATCATGCTTAAGTGTCTAGAAAAAATGGCTGAGTTGTGTCAAGCTTGATATTGTCATGGAACTTTGTTAGCACTTTTCAGTCAGGTGCATGGGGCATACATGTACTTTATTCATGTACTTTTAGATTGCTGGATGAAAGCTTGCTCCACGTTTAAGATTATCTTTATCAAATAAAAGTGTCAGCAGGATTTGTACATTATAGTGGTCAATCAAAGAACTGCATTGCACCAAATGTTGTCAGATGTTGATAGGCAGTGTACAGTAAGATGAAGTGAGTGAAGCTCCTGTTTATTCTAATAAGGTTGTGTCAGCCAAGAAGCTTGTTAAAATCCTCTCAGCTTCCCCTGCATACAGACTTTCCAAATTATCTTTAACAAGCTATTTCCATTATTCTTTGACAATGCAAAACTGTTGTCATTCCTCATACACTTACAAGCTTCTGTCTACTCTATATACCATGGCTCAGACCAACAGTGTAAATATGAAGCCATCTTTTTCTGTATGTCTCACAGGATCACATACCTTACCTCTGGTATGAATACAACACTCAATACCTCTTACCTTGGACTAATGGCCTGACTACATGAAAAGTTTGTCTTAAGTTAAACACAAGTAGCATTCACAATCCCAATTTTCAACTGATGCTTTAGATATGAACAACAGTAGCTTCTGTAAGACATACACAAGACAGTGTTGGGCTATGTCCAGAAGCTACTGTTGTTCATATTGCCACACAGCAATGAATGGTTGATTCTTGGATGCCTCCTGTAGAGACTCCAACTCTGATACCTATAGTGTTTGCACTCACAGGTCTATGACAGAAGCATTGTCCACCACGCTGGATGGTTAAACCGGGAAATTGTCAGAAACATTTGAATTTGGAATTATGATCACAGTCACATGCAAACACATTGCAAATTTGAAGATCTGACCATTACAGGTTTAACCAACCAGCAGGCAAACACTATAGTGTGGTGTGGCCATCAGATCCAAGATATACAAAGTGCTTGCTAAACAATGTTTACTAATGTATACAGTAAGTATTTTAGTGTGAAGTCTACCAAACTTTTTCTATGGATGTTACATTCATGAACAGTAGCATTAAGTTGATTTCAAGTCTGTCCAATAGTGAAGAATTATATTGCATTGATGCTGGGTTGCTGTATTGTGACAGTCCTTTCTTGTGATTTGCATGAAACAGATATGGAAGACATTAAATGTAACTTGAAATTTGGACTAGGAAGGTGTAGGATGTGTTTTGTTGGATTGTGTCTATTAGAAATGATAGCTGCAAATGATGCACACAAACAAAAAGTTCATGAAATACACCATACCCTCACCAATGTGGACGTCCTGACATAACAGCTTTAGGACACCTAGGACCGATATCTGGAAGTTTGATCCTTAAGCCCACAAACGCAATACACCACTAAATTTATTATAAAACTGCTTTCTATCTGCTGTTTACATTAAAGCAGTCGTTATCGATGGGAGCTGGTCGTTAAATTGATCACTTCTACCAACTGAACGGGCAGGTGGGGTTGAGATGAGCAGCCCATCTACCCGGACAGGTAGGTGGCCCCGACTTGCTGGTTGAGGTATTCTCGTGCCAAGAGCGGCTCGTACTTGTCCGACCCGTCCAGACAGTTCAGCTCCACGTCACTGTCGCAGTGGAAGAAGTAGGCGATGGACCGGCGCACGCGCTGCCTCTCCTCCGGGCTCTCAGGCATCACCACACGGTGCCTCTGTGGGGCAACACGACACTTATAATGTCAGGTGACAAGTAGGGGTGAATACCTGGTTTCATACACCGTATCACATTTTACGGAACACGCCGCTCATGTTAGAAGGGTGATACATGTCGTTGGGAACGTGCGTATGTAATGTTCACATAAAATTTCCATTATTATTGTGTCTGTAAGAGACGTTTCTTTATTTCGCTCAAAAGCATATTACTTTCAGAAAGCAAGTACGGAATCAAACGTTTTTATGTAGTATTTATTAGTTATCATCGCCACATGTACGTCTACCTTACTTTGATGTACGTACGTGATGTACGCCTACCTTATTTTAACTAAATTTGACACCTTAGTTTTATGTTTTCTTATATATGTCTTGTATTTAATTGTACAGTGGCGGTGCTAATGTGACTTGAGTTGCGCCACCACCATGTCTGTATTTGTCATGCACTTGAATTAAAAAAAAACGTTTCTTACCGTCGACTTGAGCTTGTCGGCTGACCACCTCTGTAAGGTGTCCGCGATGTTCACCACGACAGTACCCGGGATGGGCGAGGCTGGGACGTACTCCCCGTCAGCGTTCACCACCTGGGAGCGGTATAAACAAAAGAGCTTAAGTAACGTCTTCTGACACAAAATTGGACACATTGTACGACCTTACTATTCTCTCAGTGACCATCGATATGATATTAGGGCTGAAACAAAAGTATACATTTTGACATTTTCTTTTGAAGTTATCTTCTTCTATCTTAGGCTTTTATCGTCAACGAGCAATCAGTGTGCGAGAAATTTAAACGTACTGTACCGTCTGGCATCCGATCAATCAGCATTCACTGACTATATGCAAGAAGCTCCTTGATGTGTAAATAAATAGAATAAACACATTACAGTAGACTTTGAGTTAACTGTCCCCGGCAAATTTACCTCCAAGCCATGGTTGTCCTGGAACAGCAGAGTCAGGCAGCCGAAGTCAGTGTGTTCACCACACCTGACCTGGTCCTTCTTGATGACGTCCGGGACCGGAGGGTACCGGAGGGTTCGAAGGTTGGTGCCGTTACGACCCTTTCCGACGTACTTGAACTTTCCCAGGAAACCGTCTACATCCTACATGAAAACATATCATGTACTTAGTGCGGCAACATCCTACAATATCACATTTTCTTACAACAAAAGAGCTGAGAACTTCACTACACCGCTATGCGTCAATGTATGATTCTCCTATCGCCTCAGGCATGTCAGGAGTACCTGTGAGTTCAATGATGATAGTTAGAAAGTGACCGAGATAGTGAATAAAAGGACCAATGTGACAAGGAGGGACTATCATCTCGGTGTGTGAGTTAAAGAACCCACCACATTATTTGATACGAGTGGATAATACCAAGTAATCTGGTTAGAAACAACAAACAGATATACCTCGACTCCCAGTCCCCTGGCTATGAGCTCCAACAGGCGCATGGCGATCACGTGGCACTTGTGATAGAAGTCCATCATCACCGGCTCAAACTCTGGGATTTCCTCCGGCCAGGTCTGAAAAAGACAGGCAACTAGGACCAGCTTGTCATAGAAGATTTTGATTTTGCACCAAGTTCAGCAATTAACAATAGCCTGGTATGCACGTGATTTATTTTTTAGAGCCGTGGTCATCTATCATCCACCTAGTGCCTCTAGCGATTAAAAGAAAAGGACGCACCTGCCCTTCAGTAAGGGGTGGGTGTATGTTGAAGCATTCCTTTAGGTCACCGGGGGCAGGCGTGTCCCGTCCTACCAAAGACAACCTGCAAAAACGATGGGGGGTGGGGGTGGGGGGTGGTAGAGAAAAGCTTGAAGTTTATTTGTCTTTCTCAAGTTTTGGCATCCTGTGGCGATTTTCAGTGACGCTATGGCAAAATCAACCATTTACGGTCTGTGACCTTTTTCGTCACACTCTCGATTTTGTGTGACATATGCATGATCCTCCTTCGCAGAAGTTGTACGCCGGCGGAGGAGCGACGCGAGATATACCGCGGAGAGAGTTTTGCCGAGAGCATTACCATGGCCAGAACTTAGCGGAAGGGAGTTTTGCTAACCCGGCTGAAAAATCTCTCCGCGGCATAACTCGCGTCGCTCCCCGAAAAGAAAAAACGCCACCGCATCACAAGTCTGCGAACAAGGCTACGCACGACTGCCCCAATTCATACTATGAAAGTGACAAGTCACAGTACCCGTGCCAAGGGATCAAAGTGGGCGTTTACCGTTCGAACGTCAGTAGGGCTTCAAAGACGTGCCACTTGAGTTGACAAACCGAGGCTAGCACACGCCCGTTTGAAAATAGACGTTTGTCTACACCAGGAAGGTTGTTTGTCGGTTAGAACAGAAGTGCGGTTAGATTAATTATAATTTAATAATAATATTGATTTTATTCACATTTCTCTCTCCAGAGCCATCCAGCCATGTCGCTCTGCTGTCCTGTCCACCGGACGGGAGTATTTCTCCTTCACCGCTTCCGGTTGAAAACAGAATTTATCGTAGACATCAAAGACGTTGTTCACCTGTGAAGAGGGCTGGGAGTCAACTTTAGTTGGAAATACAAATGGCAGTTCGATTAGTGATAAAAGGTTGCAGTACACAGACTTAATGGGCACTTAAAAGTAATACGAGCACAAAGTACTAAGGTCAGCATATGCTTGAGACAGGCGCAGAGATTCTTGTGTTTACGACAGCGACGCGGGTACTGTGGCACAAGAAAGAGGAATACGTCATGTTTGAGACTGCAAAAGTTGAAATTTGATCTTTGTTCGGTTTATATAGCGTAGATTTGCGCCTTGTTACTGTCACAGCCTAGTGCTGTGCGCTTTGCGCTTTCCCATAGCGCTTTTAAAAGATTACGTCACGAGTGAACTAGCCGACAATCTTTAGCCCATTTTCACATATGTTGTACTGTACTTGTACATTATACCTTGAACTCAAACATATTCAAGTTCTGTACCTAACTTTTGCACCCTACTATATATATGTTTTTTTACCGCGTCCAAGTAGGTCACTTTGGGGTTCTTCACTATAGAAATTCCCATAGGCCGGAAACTGTGTCCTGCTACCATGAAGTTCATCTGACTGGTATCAGGACATTTCGGCCCCTGGACGGACATTTCGGCGCCAACCGGACATGACAAATAGCACATCGAAAATATTATTTATTCCGAGCTATTTGGTCTTACCTCTGATGTCGGGATACCTGTGTTCTTCAAATACACGAAGCCCACAGTAGTGAAAGCCTGCATGAGTTCATCTGTCAGCGCTTCCAGGTCAGCGTCGTTTACGTTCTTACGCTTGTTGTCAAGGCTGTAAGCCGAGAAATCCACGACTGGGATGTAGCCACTCATGTTTGCTGCAAGAATGTAGTGTATCGAAAAGGGTAAAATCTTTGCGTAATTTTTGTGGAAATGATTTGCTTAGTTAAAAAAGGTGTCTGCTATCACTATAGATACTTGTCGGTCCATGGTCTGACCCGTCTTACCAGTGCCGACTTATGTTAATTACCTCCGGGGAAGGAGATATCCTTCCGCGAGGAGGTTTTACTATTGTTCGAAACATTTCTGTCAGCAGCTGTTTCTCGCGATCGGCTGGACGGATTTGTCTGTGGTTCGGTATACGTATTGCTGTTGGGCTGTAGATGATGCAGAACGTTTTTGTTTAATTGCATATGTGTTTATGGGCGTGGAAATAAAAGGTTTTTAAGTGCTCCGGACACCCCCGTTATGCTGAAAATGGAATTTACCATGTTGTTAAGGAATGGGGAGGTTTCAGTTTTGGGTCTTACCATTTAAAAGGGGTCAGACAGAGGGGTGTCTGGTTCCGATAAAAACGTTGGGTGACGGCGCAGCAATGACGGCGCGGGATGACGGCGGGGATAATGGCGCGGGTGACGCTGAACGCTGGGTGCAAGCCGAGTCAGCGCTAGATCTTCGTGTCGCGGCATTTATTTCCAGAAATACGGCGATACACGTCAATTTATTTCAAGTACGGAGCGTAGCTAGCAGCCAGCAGAACAGCAGAAGCGGTGGGCGGGCGGTATGCAAATCTTGCATGACGTATCCGCGTTACGCGTCTCTGATTGGTTGTTCGCTTCAGCTGAGATCGCCGGGCGGCAACATGAAGGGCGCGGGGACGCGATTTTTCTGTTTGAAAATATGCACTAAACGCTGTTTTCCAGGACTGCATAGCCACATCTAGTGAAAAAGTGCACAATTAATATAAATTTGGGGGGAAATATTTGTTTCTTTGTCGATTTATGGTGTCGATTTATGGAACCCGGAAGTGCAGCCGAGACCAGCGCGCAGCGTAGACCAGCGTGGCAGTTTGACGTGTACGATCAAAACATAAACAAAACTCCCGCTGAAGAAGGGAAATTATCCTGTATGTATGCATTTCAGATCCCAGTGACTATGTTTACGATGGGAATAATTGTGGATACGCACGATGCGCACGATAAGCCTCAGAAATTTATGTCGCGAGTGGGGCATTCTATAGGCTTGCACGGCCAATGTCTGGCACGCTACGCGGCGTACGTACACTGCTGCACATCACAGCCAGCGATTCAGTGTCTTAAAATATTTTTTAACATCAGTATAACAATATTTTTAAGCATATGTGATCAAATTTCTGTAAAAAAAATTTGCACAATTGTAAACATAAAACATGAATAGATCGCTGCTATACTGGGCGTACCATTTCGCGTACATGGCCGGCTGCCCGGCGCTGCGCAAATACTGTCCCGATTTTTCTCAGTAGAAAACCAGAATAAATCACGCACCCGTAATTTGGCTTCGACCCAGAGCTCCTACTTCAGAGTTGAAACCTCAAAAATAGTAACTTTATTAGAGCATGGAGGTATTATACCTCTATGATTGGAAGAAATATAGTATTGCGACACGTGCATAGAATTTGACAAATGGGGGGGGGGTGGCGCTACCTAAAATTCTGCTGCGCTACCTAGTTTTTGCCCTAGGTAGCACACTGTGCTACTTTGCTCAAAAAAGTATTTCGAACACTGCGTTAATCAACAGTCCATACCGAACCAACGTACCGTCAGTAGCCATCAAACCGGCATACAAACATATTACGCACATCTCTTTTTTCTACCTCCATGTTCATACTACACACAAACAACTAACCTAAACCAATAGAAAAAAACCCGGAGGTTTGAAATCTACGATTTCCCTTGTTTTTTAACATAATTTTTGTGGAAATGATTTGCTTAGTTAAAAAAAGGTGTCTGCTATCAATATAGATACTTGTCTGACCATGGTCTGACCCGTCTTACCGGTGCCGACTTATGTTAATTTTTCATGGTGGGGGGGGGGGGCAGGGGGTCACAGTTTGACATCATTTGATATGCCCCAAGGCAGAAAGCTCAAGCATCTGACAAAAGAATGAAAATTTACGTCACGCGATTAACTAGCTACTCTCCTTTTTGGATTCGGCTTCTTTTTAGTGTGTTTTAGGCATTTTGATAATCTTTTGTACAGTCTGGGTGGTGTAAAAAATCCAATTCAAAAATGAAAGCGCGATAAAACGCGTACGTCTAAAACACGCCAAAAAATAAGCCGAAGTCTAAACTTCTGCTTGGAGTAATCAACTAGCCATATGGCAACAACTTGAGTAAAAGCATGCAGGTATAATTTTTTTATACATGGTAAAAGAAACCAATGACTGCTGCTCGCTGCGGATTGGAAGCTTTTTCCATTTTCCTCCAAAATCAGAAGATACTCCATCAGTTACTCCAACCCTGCATATATACTACATGTACTTTCTAATATAATTAATTCCGAAACGAGATTTTAGTAAGTAGTACAAAATATCATATAGCTGGGCGACATCGACCACTTCCCATCGGTTATCATGCCGTAACATCATAAGTGATGAATAATAAAAAAAAGGTGATCGGTTATTAGAATAATCGAGGCGGGGCGTTAACCCTAGAAATCATGAGCGCATGAGGACACCAAAAGGACAGAAATTAAGCCGTTTGGTACACAGGGTGGCTGTTTAGTAGCCGCATTTTTTATTCACATTTTTCAAAATATTCACAATATCCCTGGTAGCTCTAGAGATAACGAAGAATGTCCTTGGGGTGACCACTAAGATTGGCCATGGCTGTGAAATACAACCAACTCGAAACGTTCCCTAGCTGGATGAATGACCTAAAATGTCAATGTTGAAATGAATCATTCTAATCATTATGGGTAGCTTTCATTTTCTTGTTAGTCGATGCGTGTCTGACGCAGTCAAACATCCATACAAGACCAATTCATTCGATATTCTTTGGCTGTAAACGCCCCTCTAGCGTAACATAGTAAAATTGCAATTAGACGATGACTGGTCAGGCTTCAGGGGGTGAACCGTTAATACCAATGTGTGCTGTTGATTTTTTTTTAGAAATACCACAAAACGTCACTAAAACAGAAAATCTGAAACTTTATCATTTTCTATTATTATTATCATAAGAATTTTATCGTGATTTTTTAAAAATGAAAAACGGCACCCAAAATCTCTTAATGTTACTGAACTATCCCTGTAGTTGCCATAACAACAGAAACCAAGATGGCGTCGGGTCGACAGAAGTTGGAAGACCTGAACATGACCCAGGATGAACTCCAGCGGTTTGAGAAAGCTTTCAAAAGCGAGGAGTTCAGGAAACTGTTTGCCGAGTACGCCGAGGAAATATCTGATCCAGAAAACCGGAAAAGGTACGGGATACCCATGCGATTCGTTGTTATTTGCTAGATAGATGTAACAAGTAAGTTGGTGGGAGGGGGGCGCGTTAATCAACAGACATGAGATCGCCTGAACAGGGGGTATATACCAGTAATTTCCATGATCGCAAGAGACTTGTGATGGATTTTCAGACTGGTAATTGGCATGATGTTCATTTCATTTAGTTCTTGACTACATATATGTGCACTTCTCAATCTGATCTGATCTGAATTCAGCCACTAACTAGCCTCCTTCGCAGACTTGTTGGGCGGCGGCATTATTTTTTAGGTGAGCGACGCGAGTTATGCCGCGGAGGGACGATTTTGCCGCTAAGGGAGTTTTTGCCACGGAGAAAAGGTTTCCCGCTCCAACAAGTCTGCGAAGGAGGCTAACTTATAACTATCCACTCAGAGGTGTATGTGATGACAAACGTTTCATTATACACGTTTTTCAACAGCTCGATCCTGGGTTGATAAAACTGAAATGTGTATTCATGACTGCTCTTTTTAATTTTTAGCATACTAGTAGTTCATCATCATCTTTGATACTGCTTAGCCTTCTAAAGAGAAGATTACTAGCAGCTGCGCATTAATACTGTGTGCAAAGTGCAAACAAAGGGTAAGGTAGGGGTGGACATGGACAAGTGCAAGGACAGGACAAGTGAAATCAGTGGTGCTAGTGTTACACGTATTTACATATGTACAAGGACCGGGAAGCAGCTCAATGCAGCGAAGCCCGTCCCAGCTCAGCTTTGAACTGGGAGATGGACTTCGCCTCCGCCACACTGGGCTCAAGTTCATTCCACTCCTTGATGGTGCGAGGGAAGAACGAGAGCCTGTAATAGTTGTTCTT